TCAATATTCTTATTAATAATTGGGAAGAATAATAGCATCTACAGATTAGAGATAGTAAAGTTTGCATGAATTAACACAAGTATAGTCCCTGGCACAGACTATCAGCCATCAGATCAAGATGGCTATATCCCAGGAATGCAAGGATGGGTCAATGTCAAAAAATAAATTAATGTAATTAATTAATATATGAGTTTCATAACATACTAGTTTCATCAAAAGTCTCAATTCAGATATGTATATGATTGAAGCTTTCTCTATTCTCAAATTTAATACAAGTTCTCAAATTCTTCATACATGTTTTTCCAAGACCCCTGAAATGCAAACTTTCTGGGATTTATTTAAAACATCCCAAACCAGTCTGGCAGAGTGGCTCAAGAGGTAGAGCACCTGCCCAGCAAGTGTGAGGTCCTGAGTTCAAACCCTAGTACCCCCAAAAGCAAAAACATCCCAAACCAATGATTTTTTCTTCCAGTTTTGTCATTAAGATCTCTGATTTGACATCTGAGATATACTACCAGGGCAAGAGAGTGGTAGCAGGGTTTGATGCTGTTGCTTCTTGCAATAAAGGTGGGCAGCACCCTGCTCTCTTACTTCTTTGTGTGTGTGGAGGGTGGAGAGAATGTTGGGATAAAGAGAGGCTATTCCTGATCCCATGAGGAACCACAGATCACTGGGCACACTGCTGCTTTTGGGTCCACACTGACTGGTTGTTGTGTCCATTTGTACAATGGCTTACAATGACACCTCCTCGTGGCAGCTGATTCTTCTGGAGAGTGACTCTGGGAAAACCTCCAGCTACACATTCCCCATCCTCAGCATCACATCAGTGGGCATGTTGGATACAGTGCCTTATTGCTGGAGTCCTGTATCTCAGGCAGCAAGCTGTCCGTGGGTAAAGTTTAAAGGACAGTAGCTTTTGTGACATGGGTGTCCACATGGCCCATGGGAAATGTCTTCTGAGGGGTGGAATCCACATCACCCCAGAACACACCTGCTCACAAATCTATGTTCCTGTTACTGAAGATTTGATGCCAATTCATAAATAATGAGAGCAGTGTTTTAAGGAAAAGGAAGTACAGTTTCATTAATTTGCCAGGCAAATAGATGACTACAGAGGACTAGCATGCCAAAAAACTGCAGTACAGTTCCAAGGGGTTTTTTTTTTATTTGTTTGTTTTTGTTTTTTTGGCAGCATTGGGGTTTGAACTCAGGTCCTCAAGCTTGCTAAGCAGGCACTTTTATCATTTAAGCCACTCCACCTGCTGACCAAGGGTTTTTAAGGGAAAGCCCAGGAGTTTGGGCGTCCAGGTCTGCTTATTTCCTGGCTTATTGGTACCAGTCTCTGAAGCTGCGTGTCTTGTTGATAACGGCTTCTGCCTGTGGCCCTGAGATGGAGATGGGGAGCAAGGTAGTCCAGCTCCCCATCTGGGTGGTTGAGTGACCCAAAGGGGAGCATGATGGCTCAGCAGGCTTTGGAAAAGTGTTGAATTCCTCAGCATGGGGGAAGGAAGAGAAAAGGACAAGGCAAACTTGAGCCTTGAGCACAGGAAGGTGGCTAGTGTGATGATTTAGTTATTAGGCTAAAATGACAGCTGTGAGCACTTTGCAGGTGTCTTTTCCTGTTATACTCCCCTTCTTTTTTTTTTTCTCCTCATGACTCAGCAAAAGCAGGTTCTCTGCTGGGTCAGCATTTTAGTAATTTTAGAACAGGAAATGACTTCCTATCTCTGCCTCAGCTGCCTTAATCAGGTAAGTTGAGGTAATTGGCACATCGCAGTTTACAAAGATTGGAAGGGGAATCCCACAGGGAGAGGAGGGGAAGGGATAATTTCCCCTGTGAGAGTACAGACTTCACCCAAGTGAGGTCAGTCTCCTTTTCCCACTCCACCTCTCCTTATACCACTAAGGAAAAGGGGATTATTGAATCACTACTATGAAAAGCTGCCTCCTTTTGGACCCAGTGGAAGTATCCTCAGAGCATTTCTCCAGATTTAATATGAGGCACTTGGAGGCTGTTAATCTCAGCTGTGGACAGCCAGTAATGGGCATGGCTCCACCCACTGCTAACGCTCCATGCCTTAGCATAGGCTAAAGGAAATGCTAGAACATCATCTGATAAAGTGCAACACACATTCATGGCAAAAATAAGTCTTTGTGGGCTAGGGGTGTAGCTCAGTGGCACGATGGCAATCCAGGCCCTGGATTTGATCCCTAGTTCTGCAAAAATAAACTTTAAAAATAAAGTAGAATAAAAATAAATCTTAGCAAACTAAGAAAAAGAGGAAACTTCGCCTTGATTCAAGGTGCCTCTCAGAAACCTAGAACAAGAAGTATTTTCAATAGTGAAATAATGGAACCATTCCCATAAAACAATAAAGGAACTCTTTTATCATTGAATCTTTTCAACATGTATAAAGGCTCCTGAGCCCTATAAAAAGGTAAAAATTCAAATATAGGAATTATGAGTCTCATAAAAGAACTGGAAAAATTTCCATTATCTGTAAATACCATCATATATTTATAAAACATAAAAGAGCCAATTTTATTAAAAGAATTAATGGAAAAAATGAGAATCTAAAGAGACGGTTGGGCGTAAGGTCAACAAAAAAAATAAATTGCATGCTTTCTCACAAACCAACAATAATTAATTTAAAATGTGAAAAATTATAGTATCAGTAACAAATAAAACCATAAAATAAAGAAAATAAACCTAAGAAGAAGTGAGGAGACAGGGCATAGTGATTCATGCCTCTAATCCCAGCTACTCAGGAGATGAAGATAGGAGCATCATGAGTTTGAGTCCAGCTCAGGCAAAGTTTTACAAGACCCTATCTCAAAAACGAAATAATCTAGGGGTGTGCCTCAAGTGGTAGAGCAGTTGTCCAGCATGTATAAGGTCCTGGGTTCAAACTCCAGTATTGCAAAAAGAAAATAAAAGAAGATACATCAATTTCTAGAGAGGCTTAGACTGTTCATATATAAAATAGGGAATATATGCTTCTCCTTCTTGATTTTCTAATTTTGGGAAAGACTCAACAATTTGTATGCTGTGTCCTGAGCACATATGGGAGTGATCGGATTAAAAATTAAAATTCCTGGGATGGGGATGTGTCTGAAGTGTGCACTTGCACATCCATGAGTTCAAATCTCATTACTTCCCTCCCCATAACATTCATGGAAGAGTGAGAAACAGCCCCCACCCCCCGTTTCCATCTGGTTTTGTTCAAGAGCTTCTTTTTGTCCAACAAAAGACATGAATATAGTGAGAGAATATTGAAAGGTGTATTGGGGACAGAGGAGCCTCTGGAGACGAGATGGATGGTAGCTCCCTTGTAGGATTCAGTTCCATTTCCACATAGCCCTGGGGCATGGGCATCGTCCCATTCCATGTACTTGAGACTGGAGTGACCCTCAGAGGCCCAGGACTGCACATTGACTGCCATTTCCACCACTGCCCTGCGTAAACCATCCAGGTTACTGAGTGGGGAGGCATGGGATCACCACCTACAAATGGACCACATGGACTCAGGCTAGAAGCCATCAACACTCAAGTCCATATGTTCTTCCTGATGTTTCTGTAGTTTTCCATCCCCCTGTACAACCTGAAGGAGGAGATCAAGTTGCACCTCCCACCAAACTAAGCAAGTCCTGAGATTGGCTTTTCAATTCTTCAGGCAAGTGGGGGCTCAAAGCCAGAAGTAACTTGACTTCCATAAATACAGAAATGTGAAGCTTCGTGGAACCGAAGCAAAGGAAACTCATGTTAACACACGTATGACTTATTACATCATCTCCACTCAGCTCAAGGGCGGGGTAATTATGAGTATGAGCTTCCGGTCAAGGTGGAAGGGTTCAGATCCAGCCCCTGCCATCCACTGTATGTAATAATACTCAAGACATTGAACTTCTCTAAACTTCAGTATCCTTGTATAATACCTTGTATGGTATTATGCAAGACAAAATTAATAAGAAGTTGAGGAAGTGCTGGCCAAAGTGCTTGATATGCACTGTGCACTCAATGAACAGTCTCTTTTTGTTGTGGTAGTAATTTGGGTAGTTACAGCAATGGTAATAATTGTAACAGCAACAAAGGTATTTTATTTATTCATAGATGAAAAAACTAGGCTCAGGGAAAGTCACAGGATACCTAGCCCATTCCTAGACAAAACCTAAGACCTGGTTTTGATTATAATGAAAGAGCTGAAAACAGAACCAGTGGTGTGGTTAGTGGTGTGAATGCCTTTGTGAAGTGTGAAGTGAGGTGGGGATGTTTTCCTTAGCAGGAAGTTACTTGGGTTAGGTCTGGGGTGGGAGAGGATCTTCCCTAGAGGACAAGATTGGCTGCTGTTAGGTCAGGAGGCTGAATTGGCACCCCAGAACTCAAGGGAGTGAACCATGCATACCAAACAGTAGGTTCAAGTTCCATCAGCTCTGTTCTGGAATATCACCTGGCTCCCTGATTTCATGGAGACCAGGTTTGCCCCAAAGAGCCCAGGTGCTAGGTCATCCTGATTGGGTCCTTAGCTGTACACATTAGGAATTTCCCAGGAGTCTGGCTGTCATTATGTTTAATCTTGATGGGACAGGGGACAGGGTACATGGCAGAGGGAAAGTAGAAGGGCCAGGAAGCAGGCAGCCTCTGTGTGATTTGGTGTGTCCTTCCATCCTGGGACTCATGGCCACTGTCTACAAATGAAAGAACTGGACAAATGAGGAAGAAGGAGGTCACCATCTCATAGTGAAGGCCAGGGTTGGAAGTGGCTGCTTTCAGTGTGTGCTCAGAAAGGATTCCCAGGGAAGCGTCAAGATGGGTTAGTGATTATGGGGAAGAGTCAGGGCTCATCTGGGAAATGAAGTGACTAAGGATACCTCTAGCTCTAATAGCCACAAATAAATTTGGTTGAATAAGCATTGCAGCATCTCACAGACGAACTACATCTTCAGGATGGAGGCTGAAAGGCAAGGCAGGATCTTTTCTATCTTGTCATCTAGATGCCTGTTCAAAACTCACAGATAGCCAATCGATACTGCAGACAGTTTTTGTCATTCCATGACCCATCTGTGTACATTTCCACACACTTCTCTTTGCCTCGACCTCTGGGCTCCCCTCGGTACCAGTTGGTGTAGTTCACAGGGGCCCCATCCAGGTAGTAGAAGTCTCCAGGGGTCTCTCCCTCGACCACGCCCAGGTAGGCATAAGTGTTGTGCTTCTTCACAATGCTTGCAATGGCTTTGTTCTCCTCGGGACTCCTTGGAACAGCAATATTGCCACCTGCTCTGGCACATGACTCTCGAATGGCATCGAAGTTGACAGACTGCCCACTGGTGGAGAAGACTTTCTCTCCCACTACCAGCATGGACCCCTGCAAGCTGAGGACTAAGAGCAAAGGAGTCTGGGTCAGACCACCAACCTCTATCAATGTCCATCTGGTGTACTCAGGCTTCTGCCAGTGTGTTCCTGCAACCTCTACATCTCTGCCTCTTTCTATGCACTCCTCTTCCAATCCCAGTTTTTGAAATTCCTCTCTCTGCTCTTATTCATCCATTCATTCACTCACTCATTTAGCAACTACTTATGTCCAGAACCTGAAAATTTCTGGGATTCAACAGAAAGCACAATAAGCAAAGAATGTGCTTTTCCAGGACATTGGGAAGAAATCTGTGTTGGCTTCTGTCTGCTGTGGGCCATTCAGAGACACCAGAAAAGGAAATAAGCATTCCTTCCTCCAAGTCCTGCATGTCCCCACTTGCTTGTCTGGCCTCTAGGCTCTGGAGGATGGGGGTGAGAGGGCTGTGAGAGACCTGAACCCTGTGAGACCCCCTCTCCTGTACCCTTACCTCCCATTGATTGCTGGATTTGATGTCTGAGCTCATGGAGTTCGGTTTGGAGCTCCTCATCCAGGTAAGCTGGGAGCCCTGTGGAGAGACACCACACTCAGGATGAGGGGCAAGCTGACAAAGATCCCCACTTGCTACCAAGCAGGTGTTTTGACAGCTGCAAGCCTAGAACTCTGCCCTTTAATTGTCCACACCCACAGCCCAGCCCCTCGTTGCAAGGGTCCATGAGGCGGAATGCTTCCTCATTCCCTGTGCACCCATCTATCCATGCAGCCTGTCAGTCCCTTCCTGAATGTCTTCCTTGTGGTATCCCTTGAATGGCTCCACCTGTGCACTTCTGTGTGGTTTTCTGGTGTGTGAAGATGGCCTCTCTACAACCCTCCACCAAGGGTAACTGTGATGATCTCTGCATTCTTCTGATGGACCTTGACCTTTCCTACTCGGAGCTCTGGAGCTCCCCTCTGCTCCTTTCCTCCTCAGAGCTCCTGATTGCACTCTCTGCCTGGATCCCAGGGCCAGGTAACCCTGTATATGTGTCGAATGGCCCAGAACCCTGCCTCCCAGTACTGCCCCTCTTCCCCCATCTGATACCTTGTGTCACTCTATCAGTGGTTATGATGCATGGAGCACTTCCTACACCCATCCATCCCTGAATTGTGACCACTTTACCTTGACACCTCTGATACTTAGGTTGAGCAGTATGCCTTGGACACCTGCCATCCCCAAGGTAACTGACCATATGGGCACTGTGCCCATGTCACTACTGCCCATTTGCCCCTCTCAATCCCCACTCACCTGGAGGCCCCCTCTCGCCAGGCTCTCCCTTGTCTCCATGCTCTCCAGGGGCACCAGGGGCTCCAGTCAGCCCATCACGCCCAGGGAGCCCTGGCATTCCTCCAGGGGGACCCATGGGGCCTGCAGAGAGAAGTGGACACAGATGTGTGGACCTCCATTATAATCTGGACTGACTCACCTGCTGCTCCATGGGCACTTTAAGGACGAACTCTTCAGGATGTTCTAGCCTAAGGGCTCCAGGCAACTCCCACCATGTCCTACCCACCTGTCTCTTGGACCTAGCCTAGAGTCCTAAACAGATGGGCCTCTTGAAAATGGGTCCCGATCCCTCAGCTGAGGGTGGAGTCTCCCACACAGTACCTGGAGGTCCAGGGTCTCCTTTGATACCATCTCTCCCATCTCTACCAGGCAGGCCATGGGTTCCTGGAGTGCCAGGGATACCAGGGCTTCCAATACAGAATTCTGTCCCATTGCACATGACGCCAGAAACCACAGTCAAGATGAGGGTGAGGGCCAAAGAGTACAGCGACATGGTTCCTGCTCCAGCTGCTTTTTCTGCAGAAGGGAAGGGCCATTGGCTCATCTGCAGCATTTGCAAATGTCTTTCCCCATAACTCTCCCGCCTCTGTTGTGTTTTGTCAGGACTCCAGGATATGGCAGAGGCTGAGGGACAGGCAGGTCCAGACAAGAGTGCTGGGAAGACCCGAACTATCCTCGCTCAGAAATCCCCAGCATCCTTTGGTATGTAACATGGTCTCATGCGCCATCCCACTGACTTGAGGTTGTACGGTCCCTGGGCAGGTGAGGAGTAAAGAGCTTTGGAAAGTCAGAAGCCTGAGTTCACATGGAGTCTCTTTTCTGTTAGCGCCTCACTGTGGGAACTCACTGCACCTCTCTGACCTCAGCTGAAGCTGCTGTGCTCAGAGACAATCTGGTAATTGTTAGGAGGTGGGACACAGTTATTCACTCACTGACTTGTGCCCTTTTGGGGGGTTTTAAGGGATTGTGGTCCTGAGGATAAACAGATGACTGAGGTCCAATCCCCCACCCTCACTCCATGGTCAATGATGGGAAGTCCCCTCCTTCCCAGTCTGGCCTTTAATTAGGCCTGTGGCTTTTAGGCTGAACCCTTACATGGAGAACAACCCAGGGGATGGAGCTGAGCTTACCGTCACACAGAGGCTCCAGGCTGCGTGGGTCTCTGCCTCCAAGTCACAGTGGAGAAGTGGGCAGCACCGTTTATAGGATGTGGACTGCCAGACTTCCTCCCCACCCCTTTCACAAGGGCCTCTACTCCAGGGAGGGCTAGGTGGGAAGCAGCCATCTTGTTTACACAGCTCATTTCCCTGCAGAGCACTCAGCTGGAAGAGCACTTAGGAGCCTTGAAGGGAGCACGGAATCTGCTAAGGGAAGTCTCCCTTTGGCGGAGGTCACCTACTCTATTCGTAACAAGCTTTGCTAGCAGGGGAAGATGAAAGCCTCCAGCCACCAATGGAGGTCCTTTTAGTTTTTGATTTGGTTCCAGAGAGCACAGAGGTCACAGTTCAAGATCAGGGACATCAATCTGTCCTGGGACCTGGCTCACCACTGAGCCCTGGGTTTCCTCATCCCTGCCTCTGGAGACTGCCACCGAATTGGTGGCACATGAGCAGAGTGACAGGTGAACATACTGCAAGTGCCATCTTTTGTCCTGGCAGGTTCAGCTGTGGTGAGGCAGGGTAGCTCTGGACAGATCCAGGATTGCAGCAGTTTCTGGTTTGGCCATGGGTGATGTTTGGCAACCTGCAATGGTGATTATTTTAAGTGGTGAAATGGTATCTGAAACCCTCAATGAAGAGAACCCCTGTTCAAGCCACTTGACTAAGAAGGGAATCTAACTGTAGAGATGGTAGCCATGGGGAACCAAGACAAGAAAAAAAATCCCCTCACTTCCTATAAGTGATTTGAAAGATTTTGAAATCCCCAAGGAGTGTGGAGACCTTCTAGGGAGTGGGAGGTCAGAGAACAGAAACCCAGTCCTGCTGCAGGAAGCTCTCGGAGCCCTGAGGTACTTTCAGTTGCCCTGGTGCTGCTTGCAACTTGCCCTGAAATGGCTTCTGACTAGGCTTGGGATTTGGGAGCTAGGGCAGTGTAAAGCTGGGGTGGGTGGAAGAGGAGCTCCATCTGCAGGTGAAGAATAGGGACAGAGGCCAGCTGGGATGTCTGGTTGGCAAGGAAGGGTGTGGCTTTAAGAGGCAAACACACTTGAGTTTCAGTCTAGAGTTGCCACTGGCCGGGACCAGGTTATGTAACTGTCTGTTTGTTTTTTTGAAACAGTGTCTCACTACGTAGCCCAGGCTGGCTTTGAATTCATGATCCTCCTAGAGTGCTGGGATTGCACCACCACACCTGGCTTAGGTTAGGTAACTTTTGAACCTCAGTTTTCTGTGTTCACTTCATTATTTTGAAATTACATCAAACTTACAGAAAAGTTGCAGGTAAAGTAAAATACTTTCCCCTGAAACTATAAGAATAGGTGCTCAGGGCTGGATATAGAACTCAGTGGTTGAGCACTTACCTGTCATGCACGAGAGCCTGGGTTTGAGCTCCAGCACTGGGGAAAAAAAGAGAGGAGGTCGACACCAGGATATTAATCACACCAATACTTGAATGTGTATTTCATACAAAGATCTTTCCCCATATAACCATGAAATAACCATCAAAATCAAGACATTGTCACCAATACAGTATCTCCAAATAGCCTTCAGGCCCTCTGCAAAATTCACCAAGTACTCTGATAACCTCCAATTCAGAGTCAAATGTCCCATTTGGCTGTCATGTCTCTTTAGTTTCTTTAAATATGAAATAGTTTCTCAGTCTTTTCTTAACTTTCATGGTCTTAACACTTTTTGGAGATCAAAGGTTAGTGTGTAGAAGTCTCTCAATTTGATTTTTCTTGATATTATTACTTCATGATTAGATTCAGATTTGGCAACTTTGGTTGAGTTACCATGAAAAAGTTGGTGTGTTCTCATCACATTCTATCAGGGTGGCACATGATTTTTAATTTGTCCCAGTACCAACTATGTCTAATTTGATCATTTTTTTGGGTGGTACTGGGATTGGAGCTCAGGGCCTCACACTTGCTAGGCAGGTACTCCACTGCTTGAGCCACTCCCCACCAGTCATTTTATTAAGGTGGTATGTGCCAGGATTCTCTACCATTAAATTATCCTCTTTCTTTCTTTTTTAACAACAACTATTTTGTGGGAAGATGCTTTGGAACTGTATAAAGATGTCATCCCTCTTTTTTCCTTCTTATTTATCTTTGTCAATATGGGCTCATTCTTGAGTTATACTAAAGGGAGACGTTCACTCAGGATGCAGGGAAGAAGAGGATACAACAGCTATAGATAATTTTAAAACAGTCTATGGGCACACATGCAAGATGGTGGCCACAATCCTGGACTCAAGATGCCCCTTTAGGTTTCTGAGCACAAGCATCAAGATAACCTTCATGGCCTTGTCCAGTGAGAGGACAGGGAAGCAGGAGGCTCCTGAGTCACCAGTGGGGCCTGTGTAGCCATCAACATTCCAGACACCATGGCCCACCTCATCAGCCCCCTTCCTTTCCCTGCAAGAGGCATCAGTGCTGCCAACTTCTGCCCATGCAGCCCTTGGGTAGTGGGGTCTTCAGCATAGAAAAAGGGTTGTCTCTTTCTAGTCAGCTGGTCTTAATCGCTATTCAACAGCAGCTATTCCCAGTGATTAAGCCCATCACTTACACTGTTGCGACCCCAGTGACCACCTCCATCTCCCAGCTGCCCATCATGTAGATAGTTCATGTTATCTATAAGATACCAGAGGTGTCAATCACCAGTGTGGCTGGACTTCTCCCAGCAAATACATATGCAGTTGTTGGACAAGCCATGGTCACTCAGGCAGTGGTGCTGCTACTCCCCAAGGCAGAACCACAAGAGAATGGGGACCACAAAGAAATCAAAGTGGAAGTAGAGCCCGTTCTTGCGATTAGCCATGCCACACGAGGTGCTTCTAGCTGGACCATCCCAACCTCACAAGGCACCCTTGTCCAGATGGTCACCATAGTGCAACAGACAGCTCTAGGTCAACACCAGCTTCCAATAAAAACTGCAATACAGATGGGACTCACGTGGTACCCACTGCAGTGCACAACCAGGTGGACAGTGCAGCAGTGAGTCCTCCACACATGTTGGCAACCCGTGCATCGGCATCCCTGCTCACAAAACCCCAGGCACGGCAGCCAATCTCAAACGGATCAAAGTGGAAGATGGTGAGAGCGACATCATTGCCTTGCCCTGAGTGTGGACACGCCACCAGCAGCCACAGGAAAAGCAGATCCAATGTTAGAGCTAGGGAGCTCTTCTTATATAAAACATGAACTTTGTGTGCCAAAAGGGGATGCAGCCTCTCACGGATGCTCATTCTCTCAGTGAACAAAGGGCCCTGTGGTTGAGGTCACCTTCGTACTGAAAACACCCAGGGGGCCTTAAAACTCTTTAACATAAAGACAAAAGTCAAATTTGAACAAACCCGCAGCAGTGAGCCTGATTCCAGAGGTTGTGTCTCACACAGAGTGCTTGCTGGGATGCTGCTTGTAGACTTGCCTGTTAACTACCAGCAAGAACTCATGGTCCTTCCTTGGCCCAAGCCTCATGCAGTCAGTGCTAATGTGGGCAGATCTCACAAGACTGGGCTGCCATCTGAGGACAGGGCCAGAGCCACTGACCACCCTCACAGGAGATGAGACGGTATTTTTGTTGTTCACATGTGGAATTCGATATTTTGAGGTTACTTTCTTTACAAAATAATTGAATCTTAGACATTTTATATCACTCCATTTCTAATTCTGGAAATTTTGGAATCACTGGACCTTTCATATGGATTCATTTGGGAGAAAAGAAGCAACATTGTTCTTTCTGTTTGTTTCTGTGGTTTGTTCTCATCCCATAGAATGGTTTTCTCTTGTCTGTCCTGTCCACTTCCAGGTGGCACTTTTTTAGGACACTTGCATGTTTCTAGGTCAGAGCAATTGCCTGATGAATTGCCTTCCCCGTGTCAGCATGTAGGGCTGTGGGGATCCAGGAGGCCAGGGAGAAGTGGAACAGAAGGGACAGCCGGGATACATCTGAGCTGTACAAACTGCTCTCCTTGCTGGGTTTTTGTTGTCTTTTTCTTTATGTTGACATCCTTTCAAACCAAGATTACAGATCTCTCCATGGTATATGCGATACCTTAGGTGTCTTCACTGGCTCCTGGGGTAACCTGATCAGCTGTCCACACAGTGCACTGCAGTTTCTGTGCTTATCAAGAGCCTCTGCACTGTGGGAGAAGTTGCCACCTGACAGAGGGTCTTGGAAGCCAGTGCCCTGAAGCTACCTGTTGAAAGCCTCCAGACCATGTTCTGATTTGCAGTAGAAGGCTTCTCTGGCCTCTCAGAATCAGTCTCACACTGAGGCTGACTTGTCTCCTACAAGAAATGAAATCAAGTGGGAAGGAAAAGGCAAGGAGAGGTGGGAGGCC